GTTTGGCACGGATAGAAATAAAATGAATGCATGTGTCATCTGATTGATCTTTAGTTAACTCATCCTAATTCCAATATGATAGGTGCCTTCTTGTATAATCAACCATTTCAAACCATGGATTCCATCATGTTGCAACCGAAAGAGAAATTTTACATGGAGAAGAAACTCCATGGAGATGTGAATGACGTAAATATCTACATTGCCTTGCTGGGCTGATAGTTCTTGCAAGGAATCTTTAATAAGCTAAACTTTCCCCATGTTTCGCTAAGTCATAAATAATAACAAAAAAAAACCAAATTTAATATATGCAATAGGAGGTAAAATATCATTGCTTGTTTATATAAACAGCTGAGTCTTAAATTAACAAACATTGGAATATTGTATTGGAAAAGAGTGTTTAATGTATCCATTCTATGGAAGATATGAATGAAAACTGCCGACATTTTTGAATAAAACTATCAATTATCTCATTGCCAGATGTCCAAGTACTGAAAAGGCTCTGTAAGTGTATATTAATACACTTTTCACGATATTTGTCAGAATATCTTGCTGTTGTTTGCAATTATTGCATTCTCTTGGTTCGCCATATTTATTAATTGCATTCATTAATTCAATGTTATAGATAGACTTTTCTCTACAATATTCCTTTTCATTTTCTGATAGTTCTTGGTTTTCTTTGACTAAATGGAAAAAAACAAACTTTTACTATTTTCATTGTCAGAATTAGTTGGAAAATCAGAATGAGCAATTTCATTAAACCTTTTACGTATTAATCCACTTCTAAAGTATGGTGACATTTTAATATTATTCAAGTAAAATTAATATCTGACACATTAATTATTAGCCTTCTAAAAAATATTGAATAAATTACTGGGTTAAAAACAAAGAAAATGTAACGCATTTTCCAGATCGAGAGTTCATTTTTCCTTGTTTCATTTGGTTAAATGGATCTTTTAAAATATTTAATTTCGAATTCAGTCAAAACATTATCTCATCTTTCAAAAATACAATCAACTTCAAGAAAATGTTTCAAAAATGAAATGTAGTATTGTTCATTTTGAATTTAACATTTGATTTTTGACATCAAGAAAATTATGTATTATTCAATCGTAAAAATGTGTGATTCTTCTGAATTGGAGAAATTAGTCAAATTTATTTTTAAACTTTTAGAAATAATAAAAAAAATTAAATAATAAATATAAAAGATAATTAAATGGTGAAAATAATTAATTATCTACCCATCAATAATTCATCCAATTCCCCAACTTTAACCTTATCAACTACTTATTATTATCATTATAATTATAATTAATTAATAAATAATCATATTTAAATTAATAACTTCAATTAATTTAATGCCTCATTAAAATTATATTTCATAATTTAATAAGCTATCATTACTTAAATTCAATTTAGCAAATTCATCATTTAATATTCTACTTGTGTGATATGCTAATGGATGTGATTTGTGTACTTGTTGTGAATCACCACTACTATTACTAATACTATTATTATTATGATTATTATTGATAATTTTTTTTTGTTGATTATTAGCAAATTCCAAAAGCTCACCAATAGGTGGTCTCTTGGCTGGGTCCACATCCCAACACCTTTTCATCATTTGTGCATAATCATCAGGCATTCCTGATAATATTGGTGGTCGTAAACCTGCACATATATTAAACATTAAGTCGTAATTATGAGCTTTATCATCAAATGGTGAATGACCTGCAAATATTTCCCACATTAACATCCCAACACTATAAATATCTGTTTCTTTTGTGTGTTTTTTACCTTTAAATAGTTCTGGTGCAATATATGATACAATCCCATAAATTTTATTTGATGATTTTTCATCAACTGGTCCACATAATCCAAAATCTGTGATATAACAAGCACCTCCTTGCAATAATATATTACCACTATGTAAATCACAATGAATTAAATCTTTTTCATGAATCCAATATAATGCTTCACATAAACCATCAAAAATATTAATTCTATCTTTTAATGTTAAATTATAATGATTTTTTTGTATGTAATCTCTTAAATTTCCTTCTGAATTATAATTAAGAACCATTGCATAATTTCCATTTTCTGGGAATTTAGTCATACCATGACAAGGAATAATTGAGTTTGATTTAATTTTACAATAATTCAATGCCTGAAATTAATTATATAAATAAATTAATTGATTTAATATAAATAGTATAATTAAATAAGATCAATTACCTCATCAAAAAAAGGTTTTCCTGGATTACTTGAATTATTTAATGATTTTAATACAACATCCTGACCTCCAAAATAACTAAGCTCCTTTTTATTTTCATCATAATCATCAATAGATCCTCTTGTCCACCCAGCAGTATAAATAGAACTGAATCCACCTTCTGTTAGCTTTTCTACATTATAAAATTGCTCATAAGGTATCCATTCTATAATTCCACCTGGAAGAGATGAAAGCTGTTGACATTTTTGAATAAAACCATCAATTATCTCATTTCCAGATGTCCAAGTACTGAAAAGGCTCTGTAAGTGTAGACTAATACACTTCTCACAATATTTATCAGAGTATCTTGTTGTTTTACAATTATTGCATTCTCTTGGTTTACCATATTTATAAATGGCATTTTTTAATTCAAAATTATAAATAAACCTTTCTCTACAATATTCCTTTTCATTTTCTGATAGTTCTTGGTTTTCTTTGACTAAACGGAAAAAATAACTTATTCTATTTTCATTGTCAGAATTAGAATTAGTTGGAAAAGCAGAATGAGCAATACCATTCATTTCATTATGAAATTTATATATTAGTTCTCTTCTGTCTGGTGTTAATAACTCTGCGAAAGACATTTTAACTTTTTAATAAAAAAAAAATAAAAAAAAATTTGTGTATTTTTTGCAAATCAAAACCATTATTGATAAGAATCTAAATTTTGTTTTCGTATTCCTTTAACATATTAATATCAATATCACAGATGCTTAATTTTGCCCAATTGTTTCTCTTGTCATAATTTTCACCTTCCTAATTTGTGTGATATTACAATCTTCTCTTCGAATGAACCAATGTACTTTAATAGATCATTTGGAATTCTTTGTATGCAGCAGTATCTTTGATGTTTCTTACAGCAAACATATTGAATATAGTATAAAGCAAAAAAGTAAATCCAAATGCATTTTTCAGATTGGGAGACCATTTTTTCCTTGTTTCATTTAAATATTTGATTCAAGTTCAGTTAAACTTTATATTATCCATCCTCATCATACTCATTATTTTCAGATCTCTTGATATTGGACATTAAATGATGAATTAATTTCAAAAACAAAGTAATCAATCACCTGGGACACAACAATAATTAATACATTTCAAAAATGAAATGTAGTATTGTTCATTTTACATTTAACATTTGATTGAGATAATTTTAGCTTTTGACAATTATTCAATTATAAAAACATGCAGAGAAATTAATCAAGTTATTATCACAACGCAATCAACTTCGTAAAACTGCGACTTCTTTTTATATAAATTAACCTGAAATAGAGATTAAATGTTGCAGTAGAAAATTCGTACAACATTGAAAATGACGATGGTAATAGTAATGAGAATGAAACCAGTGGTAATGAGAATTGTGACACAATAAATTATTTCTATTTTCTATTTTGTCATTCATTAGTTTTCAAAATACCATCTTTACTTTTATATATCATTGATTTTCACAACCTGCATGATATTTATAATCTTTTTCTCAATAAAGGGAAAAATGTAGCCGAAAAATATAATACGTAAATCAATAGAAAAAAATTTTATTTTTTTGAAATTACCACCCAGCGAAAGCAAAATTCTTTCCAAAAAAATTAGGTTTGAAAAACAAAGATTTTCCTGATCACGCTCGCATTGCATTGCTTTGCAATTCAATTCGAAAAGAAGCATTGAACATAGTAGAAATTTGTTGCGGTCATAGTGAATGTTTTTGTAATAAAAAGTAGACGATAAACTGGATTTCAATTTGATCTCAATTTGATCTCCATCTTAGAGAGGTGAGAATTATATTGGCAATAGCGGATTTCTTGTCACAACGGATTTTTTTTGGCTGGTCCCGTGACGAGGTTTGACTGTACCACAAATAAGAAAAATTTTTTTTTTAAAATAAATATTAAAAATTTAAAATGTCCACCGCTGAAGACAGAAGAGAACTAGTAATTAAAAGTTGTAATGAAATGAATGGTATTGCTTATTCTAATTATCCAACTACTTCTAATTCTGACAGAGAAAATAGGAAAAGTCATTTTTTAAAATTAGTCAAAGAAAACAAAGAACTATCAGAAAATGAAAAGGAATATTGTAGAGAAAGGTTTATTCATGGTTTTGAATTAATGAATGCAATTTATAAATATGGTGAATCAAGAGAATGCAATAATTGTAAAACAACAAGATACTCTGATAAATATTGTGAAAAGTGTATTAGTTTACACTTACAGAGCCTTTTCAGTACTTGGACATCTGGAAATGAGATAATTGACAGTTTTATTCAAAAATGTCAACAGCTTTCATCTCTTCCATCTCGAATTATAGAATGGGTACCTTATGAGCAATTTTATTATGTAGAAAAGTTAACAGAGGGTGGATTCAGTTCTATTTATACTGCTGTGTGGACAAGAGGATATATTGATGATTACAATGAAAATAAAAAGGAGTTTAGTCATTTTGGAAGTCACTATGTTGTATTAAAATCATTAAATAATTCAAGTAATCCAGGAAAACCTTTTTTTGATGAGGTAATTGATCTTATTTAA